CCTCTGTGCATGTGGCTGGCGCCGTAACCACTGCTCTGGGTGCCGAGCCTGTTGTTGTTGTTTTCTTAATACAAAATGAGAGTCCGGGTATTCCTATCTCTTAAATTTTTATTACACGTTGCTATCATTTTAAAATAAGATAATGTACATACCATGCTTTGCCAGGCACACAATAAGCCTATCACAGGTATTGTGGTTATTACTTTTAAAGCAATCAAACACGTTATTGAGAATCAGATTTCCTAGAATACATTAAATAAAAATCCATCTTTAAAAAAATTATCACATTGTTATTTCCTTTTCATTATTTATTTATTTATTAAGACAGAGTCTCACTTTGTCAACCTTGGTAGAGTGCTGTGGTATCACAGCTCACAGCAACCTCCAACTTTTGGAGGTTAAACAATTCTCTTGCCTCAGCCTCCCCAGTAGCTGGGACGACAGGCACCTGCCACAATGCCCAGCTATTTTAGACACAAGATCTTGCTCTGGCTCAGGGTGGTCTTGAACTTGTGAACTCAGACAATCCACCTGCCTCAGCATCCCAGAGTGCTGGGATTACAGGTGTGAGCCACTGCACCTGGCCTTCCTTCTTGTGTTTTTTCTTTTTTGCAGTTTTTGGTCATGGCTGGGTTTGAACCTGCCACCTCTGGCATATGGGGCTGGCACCCCACTCCTTTGAGCCACAGGCACCGCCCCCTTTTCGTGTTTTATTTGGGTGTTAATGCTTTTCCTGTGAGCTGTTTGATGGGTCTTTGATGCTTAACTTTAATTAATTTTCTCTCTTTGTTCACAGAACCCACCAAGAAGCCAATCTCAGGTGAGTAACTCTCTGCCTGGGAAACGCCTTTCAGCAGAGGTTTTTGAACAGAAAAATGGAACCCCCAAACCAGGAGACATCACTTCACACCCACTAGGGCAGCTAAAATCAAAATGTGGAAAATTAAAAAAACATTGACCAGGATATAAATAAATTGGGGTGCTTCTACATGGCTGCTGGCAATATAAAATATTGCTGTCCCCCAGTCCCACCCCCAGGATACTGGCTTGGCAGCTTTTGAAAAAGTTAAATGCTTGGGTGGC